TGTTCAGAAAGGAGGCACCGCAGTGACAATCCCAGAAGCTTGGAGATCATCACTTACATTTAAAGGGGGAAAAATGTCAAGAGTTTGGAAGAAGAATGGGGTGGAGTGCATAAAAGTTGATTCTTTTTTCTTCCAATTTGGTCTTATTTATCTTCCTCCCCCCCCCACTTTTTTTTGGCACAGTCAAAAATAAGGTTTCTGATGTTACTCACCATGCAGCAAAATGAGGCGGGTATGGATGACTTTAGGAGCCTGGCTGCTGTGTGGAGAGACTCACATTGCCTCCCTTAGCCCAGATGAAGTCATCCACTTTTCAATGCCCAGTCTTTCACATTACTTCATGTTTTAACTTGGCTCTTGCTAGCACAAATCTGCTGTGATGTGGACAGACTTCCCGTTAAATTCTGGAAAGCCCTGAACAGATAGGAGAAGGAAACTGGATGACGCAGGAAAAGATTTTGTTGGATGAAATATTTTAGTGTGACATTTCAATTTTTTTGAATGCTCTAATAATCTGCACCCCATTTTTGAGAAAAATAAGTCGTATTGTTTGATTTTTTCATGGGCAAAATTTTATTTTCTTCTCCCTCCAGTATACCAAGCCCCTATGCCCCCAATAAGAAAAGGGGGGGGGGGAGAGCCCTTGTAACAAATATGCTTAGTCAAGCAAAACAGACTCTTGTATTTGTCACATTCAAAAATATATCCTTCACTTCTCTGTCAGGAGTTGGGTAACAAGCTTCATCATTGGTCCTCTGGAGTTATGATTGGTCATTGCATGGATCAGAGTTCCTAAGTCTTTCAGAGTTGTTTGTGCAGTGTTACTGTTATTGTATAAATTGTTCTCCTGGTTCTGCTCACTTTACTCTGCATCGTTTCATGCAGGTCTTGCCAGCTACCAATTCTTTTATTTTTATGGCACAACAATCCTCATTGTTTTCCAAAGTAACTTGCCTGTGTTCATTTTTCCAAGTTACAGATTTCATTCCTGAGACCATGAGATACTTATTATCACTCTCTACTCTTTTTAGTGTTCCTTTATTTCATGACAAGCAAATCAACAAAGAATCTATATTACCTTATTTCTGTTTATATGGATACGAGTGGGTAAATGTACATTACCAATATATACTTGAGTGATCGATCCTAGGGAACCAGGAGGATTTGGAGAGTAGGACAAAATAGCTGTAATCAGTTTACCAATTTAATGGTGTGCTCTTAGAATGCTGACTTCCTTTTTTCTAAGGACTTTATTTTTTTCCAGATAGCAAGGTACTTATGTGGAGCCTGTTGATAAAGTAGAAAAGAAGACTGGCTCTGGAGTCAGAGGACTTGATTACCTATGTGACATTGGAAAAGTCATTTTAACCCTCCCCTCCCAGCCCCCACCTCATTTTCCTCATCTGTAAAATGAAGGTGTGGACAAGACTTCCTCTGAAGTGATATTCAACTCTAGATGCATGATTCTATGACCATCTAGAGCAAAAGGTTTTCATTCCAAGCATCTTGTCCGCTGGAGCTATCAATCAATCAGGAAGAACTTATTAAACACCTACTAGTATAGCTATCACCAGGATGTTAAACACTTGAAATGAAGTGTCTTTCTTCTCCTAATGCATATGGGCTTAGAATCCTGGTTCTTCCAACAACCGCACTGCAGAAGAAACAATATTATGTCTTAGAATAGTTCTTTAGGATCATTTAATCAAGAAAAAAAGGGTGAGACTGAAGTGTTATCATCAAGAACCACAGAAAGAGGGAAGCATAAAGAGCTATCAGATGCAGTTCCATTGAGCTCCACCTGCAGCCCACACCATGCTTCTCCAAATCATTGACTGCCTGCTTTACTGACCCTATTTTCTGAGTAAGATTGAAGCAAGGAGGAAAAGAGGTGGCATTCTGGTTTGTGGTTTCATGTAGACACTAGCTCTATGAATGAAGATCTTGCTCTAGCTATCCACATCTGAGACCTTGTGGTTTATGTAAAAGATTGCTCCAATGTAAGGACATGAGTTAAAAATGCACTCATGTAATTAGATAAGGCAAAAGGGACTTTTGTTACAAAAAACTGCAAAAAGCCATTTTCCAATTAAGAAAACGTCTTCACCAGAGATAGACAGTAAGCATTGCTCTTAATTTTTAAAAAATCCTTATGAAAAGTCACATGTAGAAATGATGACATTGCATATAGAGTTTAGAAACTAATAGGACTAACGGGGTCATGGAAATAGAAAGGATGTGGAGTCAGAGATAAGAGTTTGAATTCTGGTTTTTCTACTTATTCCCCATGTTACCTTAGGCACTTAAGGTCTTGAAACTCAGTTTCTTCATCTGTAAAATGAGAGTATTGGATTACACAGCCTCCACACTGACTTCTAACTCAATGTGTCTGCATTGTAGAAATCTATTATTTAGAAAATAATTTTCTTTCCTTTCTCTACTATATATAGAAAATCTGTCTTCATGTTTAAAGAAACCACTGAAGAAAATTATGTCATTTTGTTTCAATTATTTGGCAGCCTTGACTAACTGCTTAGTCTCTTAAAGAACTAATATTAAATAAAAGGAAAGAGCCAGCTAAACATGGTTTTTTTCACCATACAACAAAATGAAGTGTGATCCCTGATCTCCCTGTTAACAGTTATTAAGGAGAATGACTTTGTTCTGCAGTAGTGGTCCGTAGTTTGTCATCTGTATAAAGGTAATTATCAACAAGCATTCATTAAGCAATTATCGTGTCAGTCAAGAAGGATTTATTGTGTGCCTACTATGTGCCAGGCATTTTGCCAGGCATTGGTAATCAAAGAAAGGCAGAAAACCTGCTCCTTGTTCTTAAGAAGCTTGCATTCTAATGGTGGAGACAACATGCAAACAGTTATGTACGTATAAGGTATATATTATATATGATATATTACATATAATATAAACAGGAAGTGATCTTAGAGGAAAGGCAACTAGGAATGCCTTCAAGGGTGGGATGAGTGCTCTTGCAGAAGGTGGGATTTGAGCTAGATTATAGGTAAAAGAGCTAAAGAAATGATTATACAAAAAAATAAAAGTAGACTAGGGTCTAAAGGATGTCTGGCTGATAATATTCAATCATTTGCAGCCAGAATCACCATCTGTGATATTCTTAATGACCTCTTGAAGATGACTTCTAATTGCCTTTTAGAAATAGCAAATTCTATCCAGCTATTTACTTCATCTAGTTTTCTTTTGTATAGTTGGAGATACTTATTTTGCTGTAAGGCCAATTGAATTCTGTAGTAATGAAAGTATGGTATAGTACTATAAAAACTAAACATTAAGAACTCTAGCATAATGCTTTCATTCATGGATCAGCTGTACCAGGAAAGTCAGCTTGGTGGAAAAACACACACACACACACAATTGATAGATACTCGTGTCTTATGAGCTGATATATTAGAAACAAATGAAACAAGTACATCTTGAGACTTGGGATTTTCTTGGCAAATCTTGTATGGGTTTGTCATTAAGTTTTTTGGGTTTTTTAAATCTATAGTTAGGCATCCAGAAAACAACCAAAAGGCATGCTTTTAAATGTGCACATGCAGAAAATCTATGTTACCGAAAGGTTAAAGTGTTGGCTTAAACCAACAGAAGCAAGGAAATTCAGAGTGAAAACTGAAACTTTCTCCTTTAATCACCACTGGCTAAGGTATTGCTATTGATACGGTTTTCTAACTAGGGCCTCAGAATGGAGGATGAATCACTCCAATACCACAGTAAATGCAGCAGCACACAGCACAAAGAGACAAATGCAGAAGGGACTTTCACCATTGATTCTAATACTCCTGGTTTTACCTTGGCTCAAGGTTATGGTTGCAGGGTTACATTAATTCAGAACTGGGTTCAAAGAAAAGGGGTAAAAATCCAAACTCCACATTTCCCAAGTTCTCTAAATCAATATGTAAAATATTTGATCATTTGTTAAATGGTATTAGGTCTATTTGGATTTTCTTTTAGATGGGAATGATGGTGTTGCCTCTTAATATTAATCTTTTCTTTTGCAGAATTGGCTGTATATAAAGGAATTGCTTAAATTTCAGCACATTCGTTCAAAATAAGGAAAATCATTGACTACATCATGATGAGTTAACTTTCTAAAATATAAACAAAACAGGCAGTACATACAAACAGGGTTGTGTGTTTCTGAGAAAAAGGAAACTTGTATTTAAGCTGAATCCTATGTGAGATTTGCTTCAAGTAATCCCAATATAGGTTTACATTTACATTACTTTCTGAGATTGCAATATTAACAATTCATCGCTCTCTCTCTCTCTCTCTCTCTCTCTCTCTCTCTCTCTCTCTCTCTCTCTCTCTCTCTCTCTCCCCCCTTTTCCTTTTCACATAATCAGTTTCTCAGCGTTCCTTTAGGGTTGGCGGGAGCCAGCAGCCTGACACTTTCCACAGTTGGGACATGCAGTCAGATTTTGTTGTAGTGTAAACACCCTGTAACCAAGTTCTTTTCTACTCAACAGTCTTAACTTCTCCAAAGCAAAAGTGACCAGTTCACTTTTTTGTTACATATCCTACAATAGCTTTTACAGGAATCTAGCTCCGAAACAGAAAGGCTCTTAAGCAGTGGGGGAAGGCTGTGATGAGAGAGGCTAACAGTTTTTCCCCCCTCCTGTGCAAAGCAAGATGTTTCACTGAGTTGTTGAATGGGGAGCGCTGCTCTTTCCCCAAGCCTATTGGTACTTCTTGTCAAGAAGAAACTGGGAGAGGTGGGAGTGCCTGGGGAGGCAGGCGGCCCCTGCTGCAAGAGCCTGGAGCTGCCTGTACTGCCCCTTCAGCCTGCTTTCCAGAAAACCTGGGCTCTTGTGACTGTGTCTGCAAAGCTCTTCTGGAGCCTGTGAATGAACCCTCCTCCTCTCCTTCCTCCTCCTCCTTCTACTCGAGTTGAGTCTCCTCCTCAGCGCTGACGGTACAATGATATAATAATGATGGGTGTCACAGCCCGCATTTGAACTTGGAGGCGAAGCTGCCTGGGAGCCTCTTCGAGGAGGAACTCCTCTCGGGCGCAGACGCTCAGAATCAGGTGCTCTCCAGCAGGCTCTGGGAGCAAGGAACCCTCCAGGACTCAGCATCTCCTGCAAGGCTTCTTTGAGCATTAATCAAGGGATTTACTGCTTCGTGTGACCACGAGCAACTCTGGAATAACCTCAGCACTGCACTGGGATTTTTTTTTCTTTCCTTTTTACCTTTTTTTTGCCCCCTAAACTCTGCAGTCAGCCACCTTTAAGGTAATTATGTCTCTTTTGTTCTCCCCCCCCCCTTCTTTTAAGAAAATTGGCTGCTAGGAATCACTTGCGGGCTTTAAAACAAAAAGGAGGACATAGCTATTTGTGGCAGTCTTTTCCCCAAGACAAATAAAAGTAGCGGCTTTTAGGTTAAGTTAGGGGAAAGCACAATTTTCCTTAAACAGATTGCAGGTAACTTTTAAAAGTGCATTTTGCAAGAGAAATACAATGGTTAGGAATACAGATGGAATTGTGGTGCTGAAAAGAGCGGACAAAGAAAACAGGGTGGGAAGGGAGAGGAAGATTGAAAAAATTGGGGGAAAGGGAGTGTGAAAGACAACTCTCAAAGGAATTGGATTTTGAAACTCTAGGGAGGTGTGACTACACCGTGATTTGAAAAAAAAATTGTTTCAATACATAGGCTATTTGGGGAGTAAGATATCCAGCTGTTACCTATGAAAAGTGGATGAAATCTTCCAGAGTGAGTGTTGGCTACCGGGTGTTTTTGCCCCTGGTTTGTGGTTAGTTTCTTGCGTTCCTGGAAAGCCACTCTCTGGGCAGCCCCTGGAAGAGGGACTGGGAAGTGACCTGGATGGAGCTTGCATCCTTCCTTTCTTGCTGCAGCAGTGGCAGGACGCTAGGAGCAGGCGATCTCCTTTCAGCCCACCTGGGGTGTTTAGGAGGAGGTGAGGGTAGAGAGAGATCAAGGGGTCACTGGAGCAAAACTCCTTTCCTTCCACCCCCATCGCCTTGGGAGGAGTAGGGGGGAAAGCTTCCCTCTGCTCCCCTATGTTCTTTTGTCCTACGGGCACACAAGGGGAGCAGCGTGAAAAGACTTGGGGATGGGGGGTGGGGGTGCGTTTGAAGTGCTATAGAGATCGGGAAGACGGCGGGAAAAAGGTCTAGCTTGAACCGAACAAGAAAGGTTGTGAACGATCATTTCTCCCCAGAGGAAGCTGATTCGCGAGGTGGGGTGGTGGCGGTCGCAGGAGTTACAGTTGAATTTCCCTAGCATTTCCTGAAAGAAGTGAGGGGCGCGCTGCCCCTCTGCATCCCCTCTGCAACCACTGAAAGTCTAACTCAGTGTGAGCTCCCTAGACAAAGGTGGGCCGGAAATTCAAAGTCTGCATCTTAACTAGAACTTTGGGATCGGTCCTCATCCCCTGCGAAGCATCCCTCTTTCTGCCTTCTTTTCTTTCTTTGGTCCCTCCCACTTCTTTGCACTGAAGTTGAGCAACTTTTCTTACTGGGTCAAAGAGTCCGCAGAGAGATTGAGTCGGGAGCTCGGGGTGGGGGTGGGGGTGGGGGTGGGGGGAGGCTCTAAGTAGGAGTTTCTCCTTGTCCTGCTCAGAAAAACTTCGTAATAAGGAAATCAAAAGCTCAGCGCGGGTGCTTTTACGTAGGGGAATTTGGACTCGCTCTCTGTTAAAGGGTGTGTGGAGTGGTCACTCTGATAGGCAAAGGCGAGAGCAAGAGAAAAATATGTGTCATAGCTGAAACTATTTGCTTTCGGATTCAGCTGTTCAGCGCACACCCCGACTCTGGAGACCGGGAAGAGGGAGATGTCCCTGGGACCCTAGAAGCTGCTAAAGAGGGAAAACTAAGACTGAGCCCAGGATGCCTGAACCTTCTAGCTCACAATGCACTCCCCTCCCCACCCCCCACACCTAAATACACACACGGACTCTCCTCCCTCTCCTCTTTGTCTTTCTTTTTCTTCCCTCTGCCACTCTCTTTCTCTTCCCCCTCTATCTGTCTCTGCCTTAGGGCTCTTTGGCCATTGCCTCTCCTCCCTCCCCCACCGCTGACAAATGAATGGGCTGTGTGAAATCCTGCCTTCCTCCTTGGGCTGGAGGGAGGAGGCGGGGCGCAGCGGCAAATCTGCCCCTCCTCTCCGCTATCGCCTTTAGCAAACCTAGATGTCTAGGAATCATCTCCCACTTTGTAGCGAGCCGTGGCGCCCCCTGATGGAGAAGCCGGGCTATGCTGAGCCACATCTTCCATTGATTAAACCTCAGGGAGGGAGCCGCCCTCCAAACCATTCATTAATAGAGGAAGAGTTTGGTCTCCCGTTTTTTACTCTTCTAGCTAGGCAAGAGGATGGAAGAAGGAATTAGGTAGGGACTTGGGGAACTATTTTACAGTCTAGGGGAAAAAGAGGGATGTTGTCTAATTTTGCTTCAAGATTTTTTTTCTTTTTTTGAGTTGCATCTTTCTCCCCAGAACATCCCTAAGATTGGGGTATCTGTCACAAGCACGAGCGACTGAGCTGAGGCTGCAACTTTTTAAAAACGCCTATAGACCTTTTCCCGACACACATTTGACAACACTAAAACCACTAGAGGATGGGGAAAGGGGAGGAGAAGAAATGGAGAGAGAGAGAGAGAGACAGAGACAGAGACAGAGACAGAGAGAGACAGAGAGAGAGACTGAGAAAGACAGAGACAGAGGCAGAGAGAGAGACAGAGAGACAGAGAGGGAGAGAGATGGAGAGGAAGGAGGAGGAGGAGGAGGGAAACAAGTGAAAGAGAACGGACAAGGAGGAGGACGTGAGGAAGCTAGCAGTACCTTGCAGGACAACGACTGGGGTGTTTCATGAATGCTGGCACACTAAACAGTTTGGTTTGGGGGCCATGTCTTATTTTAAGAGTTTCTCTAATTCCATCTGCTTTCACAAACGGGTCTATGGCAGAGAGCTCCACAATGGGTGGGGGAGGAGGTAACTGATCTTCATTAGGAGGTGGCCCGGCTCCAAGGACAAAGGCAGGCAGCTATTACTGACAGTGCTGGCTGGCTCGCTCCCCATCCAGCCGCCCAGCCGGCCGGGCACGCTCTTACCCAAGCCCAGGAGAGGGAGCCGGCCTGGTCTCCTTCCCATCTCTGGGCTTTACCCGCCGCCACGTGGACTGAGCCTATCACATCCAGAGATGTGCCAGAGACATCTTCGAGCTTCTCTTTTTAAGTTTCATGTTGCTTTCTGAACATGTGTTGTAAAGCTGGACTGGGAGAAAGTTGCTAGGCCATTTGGGTTTGTCTGGGGTTTTGGAGTCATGTTGGGGCTGTCAGTCGCAGCCAGCCCCACCAAACTGCCAACCCAGCTCATAACTCCTCCTCCTCCTCCTCCACAGACATATGTTTTCTATGGAGCTCCAGTATGCTGCAGGCCAATGAACATATTTGGAAGGAGGGTTGAGGGGTGGAGGGAGGCAAAGAGACCCCTAGAGTGGGTGTGAATCAAACAGCAGTCAGACAGGTGTGGCACGTTCAGACACTCACTGCCTTGCATCCAGATGCCGTTAAAAGAGACTTCACTAAAGGAGTATTTGTTGATTCATTTATTTATTTTTTTCTTTTTTGAGGAGGGGGTCATCTGAGAAAAGTAGGGAGACATATTAAAATACAATGTTTTAGAGGAGGAGATGAGTAATGGTAAGTGCTCTACCATAAATTAATGTAGAAATTCATATACCGGTTTTATAGGAAAGGAAGATTTCTGGCCTTGAAGAAAGTGCAGCTAAATGAAGTTTATTCTGGCTACTATTCAGAGAGTCTAAGGACATACTTCATCAATTGACAGAATTTTCTTTGGAGTCAGGAGCCTTGAGTTATAATCCTTGCTCATACACTTACTAGTTGTGGGTAAACTAGTTAATCTCTGTTACCCTTGAACTGTAAAATATGTACAGTGAATACTGGCAATCTGTATTTTAAAGGGTTGCTCTGAGGAGAGATAGGTGATTCAGTACAAAGAGTTCCTGGCCTGGAGTCAGGAAGACTAGCTGTGTGATCTGGGCAAGTCACTTTACCCTGTTTACCTCAGTTTCTTCATCTGTAAAATGAGCTGGAGAAGGGAATGGCAAAACACTCCAGTATCTTTGCCAAAGAAACCCCACAGGGGATCACAAAGAATCAGACACAACTAAACAACAACAAAAGGTGAGGAAAGCCCTTTTGAAAAATCTAAAAGTGTGATGTAAATTTGAGTTACTCATCTTGAAGCAGCGAAGGGTAGTGGAAAGAGTATAGAACCTGAAACCAGACAAAGAGTTTAGCAGCCCAGCTCTGCCTGGGCTCTGACATTGGCTAAGCTGTGTGACTTTGAATAAATGGCATGACCTCTCTGGACTTCAGCTAGCTTACCTTTAAAACAAGGTTGGATTAGATGATCTTTAAGGGCCCTTCCAACTGTAATTCCCATGATTCTAATGCAGTCTCTTCAAAGATTTTGAGTCCAACCTCCCAAGCTACCCTTTGGCAAACTGTTAGCAAAGTCTATCATGAAAATATTGATTTAAATTTGTTCTAAAACATGAATCTACGACCTTAGTTAAAACATAATCATGCAAGCGCTTTTCCAAGCTAAATAGTGTTCCTAGACTTGGGAGTGTAGCAACAATGATGAATAAAAGATCCAACTTTCATTCCTCTGCTTTGGATTCAGTTTCTTTGGAAAAGAAAAAAGAAATATTTTACAATATTTTACATTTCCCTGTGAAAATTTCCTCTGGCCCAACAAAAGGATACTGGTGGGCTCCATAGGGCTAAATTACTTCCCCTAGCAGGGTGTCCACAAATCTAAGTCTCAAGTAGGTACAGTATAGCACCATGACAATGATTACTTATTTATATAATGCAATAACAGTTTGCAAAGCACTTTCCCCAAACAAATTTTGTGAGATAGGTAGCACAATACTATCTCACCCATTTAACAGATGAGGAAACTAAGAATGGAGGTTCTCTGACCTAGAGGAGTTTTTATCTGGGCTAAGGTTTGTTTTTCTAAGTATCTAAAAAAAATCTGCAAAAATAGTTGATAACTGGCATTTCTGGTTTGTTAAAGTTTAAAAGATTGCTACTGATTCTACAGGCATTTACAGGTTTAAGCTAGTTCTCAAATGATAGACTCTTAAGAGTTTTACTCATAAACAGAAATAAATACCAAATGATATGAAAGTGTACCTCTCTCAGACTACTATCTAATTATTAAAGTTGTATCTATTGTT